TAACCTGGGTGGTTATCGGGTTGGTGTTTTTATTTTGATTACGTATTTTGTGGTTTTATATTTTGATTTTATTCTGTGAACTGCCCTGAGACCTCCCGGTATAGGGCGGTATATAAATCCAATGAATAATAAATAATTCATTAGCTTGCAAGTCTCCTCCAGGACTCTGCTTTAAACTATTACAACTGCAGACTTTGTGACTTTCACACCATGCCAGCTTTCCCCTCATCCCCATTCAGTCTGATGAAGGAATTTAAAGAACTTTGCATATTGACCTTCCTAAAGAGAAGTCACAGAACATCTGCCTTGGAACCCCTTTGTGCCGCAGTGGGTTATTTTATTCAGTGCTTTTTTCCTTAAAAATGTTTAGGGGTACTCTTATTTTCCAACTCATATTGAAATACTGCCCTTCAATGAGGCCAAACTAAGATTCACAACATTTTTTAGGGGTATGCATACCCCTGCATTCCCCCAGGAAAAAAGCACTGAATTTATTTACTCAAAGGCTCTACAATTCTTAAATGTTCTACAGAGTACACATACTGTTAACGCAGAGCACTTGCCAGACTGGTTGGGCCTTATGGCTGCTGGCAGGGTCAGCTCAAGACACTTTGGCACCTGAGGCAAACCACAAAATGGCACTTCCTCTGTCAGGGAAGAAGAGGTGAGTGAAGTTCTGCATCAGGAAGAAGGGTGAGAGGACACCAGCAGTGCCTCCAATTCACCAACAAGCCACTGTAGAGGTGGCAGATCCAGAAAACAAAGTGCCTTTCAATTGCATCTACTATCCTAATCTCACAGGCAATGTGTGATGTCTCCCAGGATCCCCTGGATCACTGTCTGCAAACTGCTATTCATACATTCTTAAACTTTACCGTAAGCAACAACATCCAGAAGCGTGCTCCTTTAGTCTCTTCTCTGGTAGGCAAGATAGCTGTGTTCATTGTTTTTGCTGCAACGTATACCAGCTCAAGCTCCTTGGAGAAAAAAGCTGGGATAAAGAAATGCTGGTCCTCACGCAATTCAGGAGCCAAAGAGAATTAATGCAACTGGAGAAAGAGCTTCTGGAATGGTAGCCACAAGTCAACACTGGGAGATTTCCACTCACTTGCTCATCAAATCTGGTGGAGGAGATTATGTTGAAGCTCACGAAGGTCCACATCGGAAACTGAGGGCTTCTGGAGTCTCAAGTAATTTAAAGGTCTCACATGGAAAGCCGGACACAAGTGCATTTCTGCAGGATGTGGCTGAACTGGAATCGGGAGGCTGTCCTCAGCGACCAGAGAAACCTTGCACATCTAAAAACAAGGCTGGTGGAAGGAACACCTTAGAGACTTGAGAGTGGCACTAATATTAGAGAGGTCAGGGGTGGCGCCAGCCCAGCTGCTTCCAAGACCGTGGCTTCCTGTCCCTTGTACTGCGAATGGTGTTCCCTCTTCAGTTGCTCTTCCTTCTCCACCTGATTTTGGCTATATATCTCCTTGGTAATAGACCAAGAAGCCAATGGTTGCTGAGCTACACCCACCATTGTGAGGGCTGAGGGGGTGATGGTGATGCTTCCCCAGCTGCTACCATTGTTGACTGTGATGTCACAAAAAAAAAAGGCAGCTGAGTGGGTATAAATGTTGGCCAAGGCAAAAGGCAAGGCAGATGCCCTCCCCAGAGAGAAATAGGCAGCAGCGGTGGCACTCAGCTCTAGTGGTCTCCTGCCCATGGCAGCAAGCTGGCAGGCGGAAGGAGGCAATCACCCAGCGCTGAAATGCTGTGGAGCAAGGAGAAGGCAAGTTCAAAGTTTACTTGCTAGTGGGATTGCTACTTGAAGGCAGCTGATATTCAGCTCTGAAGCAGGTGGTCGTCTAGCAATGGACCTGGCGACGCTGCAGGTGGTGGACGGTTGCCGGAAGAGTTTGCATTCAGGCTAGTGGATGTCGCAAGGCTACGCTGGCTGAAATGGATGCAAACTGGTTTGGAAGCCTGTTAGGCATCCAAACAGAGGAAGGAAGCTGCCTAAACGGCAGCGGGTGAATATCCCTAGGCGGAAGCTGGTGGAATTTGCATTTGCATTTAAATGTCAGTGGATGCCCTAGGCAGGCAGAAACCAGTGGAGGTGTCTGGGTGGACGCTGTCAGATGGTGGCCATCCCACTCATCTGTTTGCCTTTGCCTTTCAGGGATGTCCGGAGTCGGCAAGCTTTTCCACGAGACCAGCCATAAAAGTCATGAAGAGAACCGCAGAATGTCCCTATTTGCATTGGTGAAATGAACATGAAATACTGACAGTGAGCAATGGACAAGGCCGTGGCCATAACTGAGGGAAGGAGCTTTGAAGGGAGACTGCAGGCGGACATCTGCTGGACTGCAAGTGATGGAGTCTGTTCTTCTCCTCTGCATTCCCCACTGTGGCTGTGAGTTTCAGGACATCACATCATTAATCTGATGAAACAAGCTGTGGTTCATGGAAGCTTATATACCATAATGCAGGAGCAAGACAAGCAGTTTGACAAAAATGAGGGGAGGAAACATTAGGCCACATTCACACAGTTCATTGGAAGTGCTGTGACGCTTTAAACAGGCATGGCTTCCCCCCATGGATTCTGGGAACTGTAGGTGGTTAAGGAGACTGAGAGTTGTTAGGAAACCCCCCTGTTCCCCTCCCAGAGCCACAATTCCCAGAATTCCCTGGAAAGAAGGATGGGTGGTTAAACCACTCAGGAAGTTGTAGCTCTGGGAGGGGAACAGAGGGGTCTCCTAACAACTCTGGGCGCCCTTTTCAAACTATAGCTCCCAGAATTCTTTGGGGTAAGAAGCCATGAGTGTTTAAAGTGCTTCATGGCACTTTAAACGAATGGTGTGGATGTGGCCCTGGCCTCCCTCAACTCACTGCCTCTTAGGAATTGAAAGGATTTCCCCATTTGGTCCCTTTTAACAGCTTCAAATGTCTCAGGAACAGGAAGAAAGACTTTATATCTCATGCCATTTTAGGTGGTTTCTGCTTGATTGTTGAGATCATATGACAATTTCAATTGGAAAACTAATAAATTATTATTTTTTATAAAGATTATTTTTATAAAAACCTTTGAATGCCTTTTAAATGTGTTTCAGGGCACTGAGAATGATGTGTTCACTTGAAAGCAATGCCCTTAGATCACAGAATCATAGAATTGTAGAGTTAGAAGGGACCACGAGGGTCTTTGAGTCCAACCCCTTGCAGGAATCTTTTGCCCAACATGGGGCTCAAAGGACGAGATGTTGGTCTTTGTTCTTGGCTTGGTGCAGGGGTAGCGAATGGGAGAGTGAGGAGGTACAAGCACAGCAGGTGAGAGATGCTCCTAGGTTGTCCTTGCTGCAATCCAAAGGGCTGGTACCTGCCTTCTTCGCATTCAGCTTCCTAAGGCCACCCACACGACAGCCACCTTCCAAAGAAGAGAATTACAGAGTCTTGTGTGCCTTCCATTTCGGGAGAAGCTTCTCGAAGGAATATTTCCTCCCTTACTGGTAAAGGCTGACCTCTCCCTTCTGTTTTAGCAGATTCTGGAAAAACAAAACACCATGTGTATAATTATCTGTGCTGGATTGTTGATATTCTGTATATCAGATATATTCTTCTGTAAGTTCATTGGAATGTTATATAAATTTATCCCAACAACACAAATGAGGGATGTGGTTATTTAGCAAATGCAGGAGAAGGCTGTGAGGGGACTCCTCAGTCATCATTTCTTTATTAACAAGTGCCCCTCCCAAAAAATGTGAGGCCTAGTAGGGTTGGGCAGATGTTTCCCCATCCCTGGCTATGTAAGGACTGTCAGTGATGTCACAAACAGACATGGCAGCTGAGGGGAAAGGGGTAGTTTCTTATTCTATAATTTTTATTTTATTCTTTTTAAAGAAATGGGATTTTGATGGAATAAAGCCCCCCTCCCACCTCAAGACAGCCTCCCGCAAAGCAGCCCTATTTATCCCAGCATGTATCTGTATGGGAGTTGGAACTGCGTTTACATATGAAACGGTTTGAATTTTATTAGGCTCATTAGTCCCCCTTCACTGCAAAGTTCCAAGGTCGGCTACAAGCAATAAAATATGCACCTGTAAAGCAAATAAAACAGTTCTATCCATAAATACGTAGTTAAAAAAAACCTTTCCCAATATAAAACAACGGAATGTGGAATTGTTGTACTTTATAGTCGAATAACTGTAGGTTTCGAAGGGACCACAAGGGCCGTCTATCCCCCTGCAATGCTGGAACAACTAAAGCATCCCTGATGGATTTTTTTAAAAATAATATTTATTACTTTTCCATAAAGCATCCCTGATGGATTACCATCCAACCTCTGCTTCAAAACCTCCAAGGAAGGAAGAAGTTCCCCATCTTCTGACAGACCGTGCCACTATCAAATGGCTCTTACCATCTAAAAGTTCTTCCTGATGTTTAGGCCAGAATCATAGCTGTCAACGTTTCCATTTTTTAAAAGGGAAATTCCCTTATTCCGAATAGGATTCCTCGCAAGAAAAACGAAGAGTTGACAGCTATGGCCAGAATCTCCTTCCTTGTAACTTGAAGCCATGGGTTCAAGTCCTACCCTCCAGAGCAGGAGAAAACAAGCATGCTCCCTCTTCCATGCCCTTAAGATATTTGAAGATGGCTATCATCTCTCTTCTCATCCTCTTCTTTTCCAGGCTCAACCTACCCAGCTCCTTCAACTGTTCCTCATCAGGCTTGGTTTCCAGACCCTTGACCATCTTGGTCTCCTTCCTCTGCACACCTTCCAGCTTGTCAACCCCCTTCTTAAAACGTGGCACCCAGAACGGGGACACAATATTATTCCAGGTATGTCCTTGTGGTGGGGGGACGGGACATTTTACTGCAGTAAATAAGTTTATGGACTCTTTCTTCAACCCGTCTCACGAGTAATTAATTGTACAAGTGAGGATAGCAGATTTTTGCCCCGCTTCAGGACGGCTCCCGTTGGCGAGCTTGGCTTTCGCGCGCTTTTTCCTCCCCTCACAAGGCGGAGCAAAGAGAGGCGGACTGAGGCGGAGGCAGAAAGGCTCCTTCCCCTCCCTCAGGCCCGCTATCATGGCCGGGTCGCTGGGCGCCCGCCTCGCCCGGAGCCGCTTCTTCGGCGGCTTCGTGTGCGGGGCGGCGCTGGGAGCCGTGGCCTCTGCGCTGACTGTCCGCAAACTCCTCGGGGAGCCCCGTCTCCCACCCGCGGCCCTGCAGAGCTCCGTGGCCGCCGCCGCCGCCTCGGCAAAACAGCAACCGCCGCCGCCAACGCCGCCTCAGGAGGGTAAGCGAGCGAGTGCGCAGGCGCAACTGCCGACCCGGCTCGCTGGCGGGAGCGCTGCTCTCCGGTCACGGCGGCCGGAGCGATGGCTGAGGGCGCCCGTTGGCGACGCGCGGCTGAGGGGGAAAGTGGGGCCTGCTATACAGAAGGCAGCCCGCAGTCTGCGCCCGCAGAGCTTTCCACTAAAGAGCATCATATAAAAAAAGGAGACCGGAGAGGAATATTGCTGATATAATGCTTACATCTTTTTCTTTTTGGTAATAAAAGGATTAGCAACAGCTAATTTCGACAGTTTCGGGATAATTTGAAGAGTTTTCTGTTTTCCCGCCGGGCACCGGTTTGGGTAGCATTTGGGCGCCATGTTTAAAAAAAACCCCAAAAACTTCTCGTGTTGTTTTTGACGTTTTTGCTGTTGATTTTTCTCCAGCTTTTTCCGTGTTGTTTTCCTGGTGCTTACCTTTTACCTTATTGTTGATCTGGCGCAGTTTCAAATTAAATAGGAATATGGGAAGGTGCCATGCACTGAATCGGGACCGTTGCGCCATCCAGTTCAGTATTGCCTACACGGACTGGCAGAGGCTCCCCATGGTTTCAGGCAGATGCCATTGGGGAATATCCTGGGGACAGCTTGTCTTCTACCAGGGTTTCCAAAACTTGGGTCTCCAGCTGCTTTTTGGACTACAGTTCCCATTATCCCTGACCACTGGTTCTGCCAGCTAGGGATGATGGGAGTTGTAGTCCAAAAACAGCTGGAGACCTAAGTTTTGGAAACCCTGTGTGACTAAGCTGATTATCACTCTTCCCCGAGATCAGACCTAAGGCTCATTTAGCCCAGCATACTGTTTTCTACAGTGGCCAGCAGTTGAAAATGAAATGTCCACATTTCCTCAAATGCTTACATTTCTCTTCAACACTTAAATATCTTTTTTTAAAGGAAAAAAAATCAGTTTATCTAGATTCAACTTTTAAATGGGACTCCTGGTGGTCTCCCATTCTTATCTATCCATCTTTAGTTAAAAATTTCCCTCTCTAGCCACTAAAACCCTGTTAGCGATTTCTAAAGAAAAAAAGTATTGCACAAATTTACGGTGAATTTGCCTTTCATTAATATGGCATTGTAGGCCCTTAGGTGTCATGCTAGTTACATTTTACAGCATGGTATGAAAAAATTGTGCACAAGAGAACAAAGCATTTGTTTCTTTTATCTATTGCTTTCTGTTTATAACAATTTATGTTGAAATAAGTTGTTTTTAAACATTTGTTCGCTTTTGTTTCTGCAAAAGTAGTACGTTTTTTAATGCAAACAACTGGTTTTTTTTTAACAATGCACAAAAATCGAACCAAACAACCTGTGGTTTGTTCCTGAATTGTTAAATATAAACTGAATTAAAAATAACATCTGCCACTTTTCTCCCTGTATACATTGAAAATCAATCAGCACTGTATTGAGAAAGTGGTTTTGTCTGGCTGTATCACACCAGCAGTAAATTGCTAGCAATGACATATTTTTCATTTTATGGTGGCTTTAAGTGTATTTGTATAACTGTTATCAAAAAATCAATCTGAAGTGGTGGGCGAAAGGTTACAAGTACACAATAAGCCCACATCACTTCTCAACCCAACAACATTTTAATTTTTTTTGTGTTTTGAAAGGATAGAAAGTTTTTAATTTTGTGATAAGTGAAGTAGGCTCTCATCAACCTCCCTTTCAAATTCTCTGTTGTTGGGTGATGCCTGGGTTGGTCCTATCTCATTTTGTGGCAGGACTCCTCTGCGGTTAGAACACATCAGACCCAGCCCATAATTCTGCTTACATCAGTAGCCCCCACATACCTCTGGATAAGCTGGCGTGGTGTAGTGGTTAGAGTATCAGCCTTGAACTAGGGAGGCCCAGGTTCAATTTCCAGTTCAATTATTATTTACTATTATTTATTTTATTTTGAATTGATTCTTTTGAATTATGGTGCTGGAGGAGACTCTTGAGAGTCCCATGGACTGCAAGAAGATCAAACGCATCCATTCTTAAGGAAATTAGCCCTGAGTGCTCACTGGAAGGACAGATCCTGAAGCTGAGGCTCCAATACTTTGGCCACCTCATGAGACTCATGAGAAGAGAAGACTCCCTGGAGAAGACGCTGATGCTGGGAAAGATGGAGGGCACAAGGAGAAGGGGGCGACAGAGGACGAGATGGTTGGATAGTGTTTTCGAGGTTACCAGCATGAGTTTGACCAAACTGCGGGAGGTAGTGGAGGACAGAGGTGCGTGGCGTGCTCTGGTCCATGGGGTCACGAAGAGTCGGACACGACTAAACGACTAAACAACAACACAATTTTATTTTGAAACATGTATAAACCATTTAACATTTCGAAAACCACAAAATATTGTACAAAAGTTCAGAATAAAAGTACATACTGTAATAAAATAACACAAACCAACACAGTATACTATAAATCGTCGCCTGCAGACTAATCTGGGAAGGCCTGGGTAAAAATCAAAGCTTTTAGCATGTGTAGAAACCACATGGTGCAATACTTAGTGCATGCCTTATTTCCAGGGCAAAGGTGTTGCAGATAGTAGAACCCACTACATTAAAGGCTCTGCATTGGGTAACATTGGGTAATCAAGATGGATCACTAGTACTTACCACACTGTTAGGAGGGCCTTCTTGGGAAAGGTTCTTGAACGGGTGATTGCAGACCAGATCCTGGTGCTCTTGGAAGAAACTGATTTTTTAATCCATTTCAATTGGTGTTTAGGCTTTTGTTATTATGGTATGCATTTTTGTGTTTTTATATTATAAACTGCCCTGTGATCTTCAGATGAAGGGTGGTATGGAAATATAATAAAATAATATTAATGATAATTAGATTATCACAGTGACCAGGCAAGAAGCTCACTGGGTGGTCATGGGCTAGTGATTTCACTTTTCTCTCACCATAACCTACCTCACAGGGTTGTTGTGAGGATTAAAACTGGTGAATTTTTAATCATTAGTTCCACAGAATCAGTTGACTGTACTGAATGCACAGTTCCTGGTGAATACAATCCATGAGTGAGCTATGAGGGACAACTAACAGAGACTTCCTTAATGGTCTTAGTGATCAGGCAATTGAGAAGCCAGGCAACCCTGAAGGTACTCTGGATCCCAGTTGTTAATGGCCTTAAAAATTGATAGAAGAAACTTGAACTTGGCTCAGTAACATAAGGGTCGCTAGTGCAAGCTGATAATCATTGGTGTTACTTGCTGGCAGCAGTCTGGCTCCATCAGCAGTCAAGCTGCAGCATTTTGTACCAACTCGAGCATCCCAACCTGGCCCAAGGGTACCCCTTACATAGAGCACATTGCAATAATACTGGCACCATCCATGTATGTGGTGCTTTGCATGGAAAGAGAGCTTAGCCTCATACACTTGAAACTACCATAAATGAAAAGGGTTTTGTAAGACTTGGGTAAATTCTCAGTTGTTAATGGGGTTCTTAGGCATTTGACGCCTTTCTGGCTACTCTTCAGTGGGAGAAAACAAACCCCACATGTTGTGGCCTTAAAACTCTCTATTTCTCTCTTAGAACCCATAACAGAGACTGTGTTGGAAAAGTATGGATTTCCTGCAGCTGGAACACAGATCAGACATTACACCAATCATGCATTATCTTATGATCAGGCAAAACGAGTGCCTAGATGGGTGATTGAACATATTTCCAAACATAAGACTTTGGGTAAGTGAACTCTTGTGTGCATTTGTTCATTGCTTGTAATTAATTTATTACTTGTGGGTTAGAAGCAATTCACTGGCTGTGCACGAGTAATAGGACCTTTGTTTGAGAGTAAGCCTCACTGAGCATAGAGGAGCTTCTGAGTAAAAAACGCATAGGATTCTTCTGTCAGGTGGGTAAATTATGTTTTCCACATAGACTAGCTTTCAATAGTCTTGTAAAGAGCACAAGATTTCATAGATGTGGTTGCCAGAAGTGGCTGGGCAGGAGGTACAAAAGAGGGATGCTTTGCCTCTATGGATCAGGACATGAGAAAACTGAATCTCACTGCCTGCTAGAAGCCAAGCTCAGCCAAAATTTATAGATCCTGAAGAAAGCATATGTGAGCATGAAGGTGCTTCTTGCTAGCCCAGAAATATTTTCATCAATGGGTGAGACTTCAAATTGATACAGTAGGTCCAAGATAGTTAGTGGATGTCTATGGAATTTAAGAGGACGTTAAGGTCCATAAATAGCAACACCCTAGAGGTCCCGGGCCCTAAGGATGTTAGATTAGCCTCAACCAGAGCCAGGGACTTCTCAACACTGGCTCCGGCCTGGTGGAACGCTCTTATCTCATGAGACCAGGGCCCTGCGGAATCTGATTTCTTTCCGCAGGGCCTGTAAGATAGAGTTGTTCCGCCTGGCCTTTGGCTTAGAATCAGTTTGATTCCCTCCCCCTCTTTCTTTTTCCTTTCTCCTCCTGTGAAGAGGCTGCATCCTAATTTTTTAATGTTGTATTTTAATCTTGTTTTTTAAATTGTATTTTAATCAACTTGTTTTTATTATTGGTTGTTAGCCGCCCTGAGCCCAGTCTTGGCTGGGGAGGGCGGGGTATAAATAAAATTTATTATTATTATTACTATTATTATTATTATTATTATTATTATTATGAGCATATCCTATGGATGTCTACTAGTTTTGATGCAAGCTTGTAGGCATTTTAGTCAATGTAAGTAACCCCTTCTTTTTGTTTATCATTGATATGGACTTGTTCAGTCAATGAAGGCTTTCATTTCCATGTGATTGCTGCCCTTTCTACATCCTCTTCCCTTTGTGACCCTTAAACATGTGGATCTCTGCAGGCAATGTAGAGTGATTGGCAAAGTGCACATGATGTTTGTAGGAGTAGAGAAATCATCTGAGGCTTACCAGATTTCTCGGTGAGAAACATCAGTAATAGAGGACAATCGTCCCTGAAAGACAGCTCACCTACTGGTTTTTCCTTGCAATGCAGAGTTTCATGGGAGTCTTGAATGCACATGCAGGATAATAATGGAGATCAATAAGCCTTGTCAGTGCTCCATGTGAACGGACTGTATTCTAGGATATTGTTTAGGATTGCTGTTTATTTTGCAGTTTTGACAGTTGCATTTAGTATAGTTTTTGTTTTTTTTAAAAAAAGAAAAGGTTTGCTGAACAACTTGTTTTTGTTCCTCAGGCAATGCAGACAGAAAACATTGCAAATTTAGACCAGATCCAAGCATCCCTCCAATATTCACTGCCTTGAATGAAGACTACATCGGGAGTGGCTGGTCACGAGGCCATATGGCACCAGCTGGGGATAACAAATATTCACCAGTAGGACTGCCACTTAATTCTTGGCTTGTTGTTTCTTTGTGGGGGGGGGGGGAGAACATTAAAACCAATTTGTACATCATGTTTTCAGCAGAACTAGGCAGTGGTTTAAACATGGGACTGGAACAGAATCCATGGTTCCTAAAATCAATGACAGAGCTGTGAAAGTGCTTTGAGAGAACTGGAAAACATTGCTAACCCAGCCTTCTCCAGTTTGGCGCCCAACTGACATTTTAGATTACAACTCACATTAGCCCCAGCTAATATGGCTGTTGATTAGAGATGGTGAGAGGTACTCCAGAACATCTGGAGACCAACAATTTGGGGAAGACTGTGCTAGCCGTAGTGACCAGGGGGAAGTGGGTAATTTAAACAGCAGATTGAATTTGAAGGCACCGGTTTTGAAATGTAATATATCATGTAACAGAATGATGTTGGGGCACTGTTGTTCTGCGTGTAAATGTATTAGAATGTTCTTCTTAGTGGTTCTTGCTGAAAGAGATAAACATTGACAAATGACTGCTTGATTCTGTTTCATTCTGAGCATTTAAGTAGGTCTAGGTATCGATCCAAAATTTAGTTTACAATTCTTTTTTCTTACAGAAGGCTATGGCAGAAACATTTTATCTATCCAACATTGTACCCCAGAACTATCAGAATAATGCTGGATTCTGGAATAGGTAAATTGCTACTACTAGATTAACTAAATTCAAGGTAAAATTTTGTTTAGTGATATTTTAAACATTTTAATAATGTGTCAGCCTAACGTGGAGAGAGGGAGGCAAGGGAAGAAGCACCAAAAATGAAGAAATAAACTAGAGAAACTATGTAGCTTTCTCTGGGGAGGAACACAGATATTAGCATTCTGGTCATCTAGCCAGAAAGCTCCTATAGTCTGTTTATGCAAAGAGAGAAGTGCTGCCCAGGGCAAGTGGCAGGCATATTAAGCCTTAGTCCAGGGTTCATATATTTATTTATTGAGATTTATAATATTTCTCTTCCTGAAGGCACACAGTGCACAGCATTTTAAAGCCTACAAATCCAATGGAATGGAATGGAATGGAATTCAATTAATTAGACACACACTAGCACAGAAATAGAATTAGCTCGCTTCAAGCAGGGAAAACAATATGATAATGGTTTCTGTTAATTTGGTAGCTACTAATGTGGGTGAGTCCAGGAATGGGTCTCTGTCTTCTACTCATTGTAAACAGATACACTCTGACCTCTACTTGCTGAGCATGTTGGAAACAAAGCACTGTTTCTACCAATCAGCTTGAATATAAAAGTTGCAAATAAAGTATTGGCTTTTTAAAGTATTGACTCAGCATGTTGGAAGCAAAGCATTTCCACTAATAGCTTCCCCAAGGTACAGACCAAACAATAACACAAGCATGTGCAAAGATACATATGAATGGAAGCAAACAAGGCAGAGACCTGATTTGTGATCTGGTTGCCGAGCTAAAGCGCCATATAGGAATAAACTGAAGATTAAAGCTCACATTTCCTCATCATGCTTACTTAATATATTTATCTTGGGAAATGTTATCCCATCCCTAAAATGCCCCACTGCCCTTCTCTGTTCTAGGTATGTTTGGAATTCCCCAGCCCCAGACTAGTCCATATCTTTAAACTATTTTGGCTTAATTTCAGGCTAGAAATGTATTGCCGGGAACTGACTGACAGATTTGAAGATGTCTGGATTGTTTCTGGACCTTTGACATTACCTCAGATGGATGATGATGGGAAAAAAAGGGTTGTGTATCAGGTAAGCTATTGAACCTAGCCATATAATTGGAACAAAGTCCTCTTTGATTTTGTTGGGGGTTTTCTGCCATGCAGGTTTTCTTAGGAGTTGAACTGGATGCAGCCTTGGAACTGCATGTGCGAGAAAGGCAATAACAACCGGTGGTAAGGTTGCACGATTTGAGGCCTTATGCTGTTGAGTAGTCCTTTTGAATTTGCTTTGTGGTCTCAGCTGATGAATATAAATATGGGATCACATGCATAGAATAGGCCCAGTGGCCCAAGTAGCAAAATTTAAGTCACATATTGTGAGGAAGGAGTAGTGACAGTTTGTGCGCAGCAAACAGAACTGAGTAAGAACAGTAAGAGGCAATGCAGTGCACACCATCTCTGCAGGCAGTAGATACTAGGAATCAAGTGGTGGATTTTTAACAGAGCTGTGCTTACTGTGTGTGAAACAAATCAAAATTATGCATCCAGAAAAGTGAAGTCCTGTGACTTGCTTAATATGATGCAAGTAATGTTGTGAATTCTAGAAATACGAGATTAAAATACGCTTTACGTTTAAAAAATAATAATGCATAGATTTATTATTTTAGCTCTGATTTATAGCAATATCCTCTTCAAGCTCACTTAAATTGTTTTCAGCCAGTGGCTGTGCACTGTTTAAAGTTAACTATTAAATTAATGGCTTTATACTATTGTTTTTGTGTTTTTGTTTTGCCCTTATGGACATGTGATTATTTTTAGATCTCTTAAGCAAAGAGAGGAACTCCCAAAGTATTGCTGATGGCATTGCTCCTTGCTTGGGTTATGTTACCACTTCTCATTACCAAAGAAATTAATCTGAAGCTGCTGCTATCTGTTGGCTGAATTTGGTGTGTCTCAAGGTCTGTGCCATCGTTTTGTCTGCCTTGGTGAAGCATTTGTTGCAAATACAGATTGATGACCACACTTGATATTTGGGAGATACATTTGCAGAATATAAATGTATGTCTGAAAACGTAAAAGAGAATGCCAACAGGAAGAATCTCTTCTGTGTCACTGGAGAGGCAGGAGCAGGTTTTCCATCTTCGTCCAGAGCAAATCAAAATGACAGCATCTTGCTTTATATACTGCTGTTCTCTGGAGAATGTCAGTTTAGTGACTTTTGTCTGCTAGCAGATCTTTGTTTCTAAATGTGTCTTTTTGCAATCATTTTTCCTCCTACATTTCACTCAGATTGAACCCATATTAAATGCAAAATTTATAATTTTGTCACCCGTAATTCCCAGACTCTGGATTCTCCCCCTTATATTTGCTTTGTATTTCATTGAGAGTCTCTTATTTGAGGGGATTTCATTGCTGAAGTATATGGACAGACTTGGATCTTTTATTTTTAACCTAACTATGTTTAATTTAAACAATGAGAACGACTAGATAAATTATGAATAAAACGGAATATGTTTAGCAAAAATAAGAATTCTTCTGCAAACAAGACTGTAAATAGTATCACTCTCACAAATGAATAAATACAGTGCTGCTGTGAGAAACCATATTAGGCGGCACCTCTATACACCAGGTGTGAGGAACTTTTGGCCCTCCAAATGTTACTGAACTACAACTCCCAGCAAGCACAGTTATCATGATGATGGGAGTCATAGTTCAACAACATCTGGAGGGCAAAGGTTCCCCTCACCAGCTATGCACAGTTTCTTGAGAACAAAGTCCTACAGGACTCAGGCTTACTTCTGATTAGACATGTGTAGAATTGCACTGTTAAATATACTTCCGCCATGAAACACATCCACCAGAAAGCAAGATGGTCAGACGGATTATTTCCCATGTTTAATTTTGGCACATTAAAAACATTATAAGGTGATTTTTATCAGATTTACTTTGTGAATCTGTTGCTTGGAGGCAGCCCACTGTTTATGAGCGCTGTTCAGAGGCTCTTGCTGATGTGTTAATGTATCGGCTCCAACTGCCTGAGGCAGCATTGGCCACCAAAAAATGGCTTACTGGCTTGGATTTGTTTTAAATAAGCGTGGATCAGATCCCTAGCTTTTTTCCCTGAGTTGGAGAATGCCCTGGATTGCCTCCCCCAACAGTTTTAAAGTGGATGAAACAAGCCAAATAAAGAAGGGAATTTATACAAGCCCTCTAGGCAGGTCATTCTCTTACAGAACTGCCCTTACCCTTTAGGAGGGGATTTTCCAACTACAAAGCCTTAAATCTAAATGGCTTGTGAATTAGCTGATTAAGCATGCACATTAATTAATGTCTGCCTTGTTATTCAATTACAGCTATTCAGTTATGTTTGCCTTTCACTGTTAATGATGTTGAATTATTCTGTTCATTTTATTTTAAAAATGTGAATAGCATGTGGATAATGGGTCTTACCAAACCTACTGCATACAACCTCAGGATTTTTCATTCTGAGGAAGGTCAGATCATCTACATTTTGAACAATTATGCTTCTCTGACGGATTTCTCGGGATGCTGGGGAATCATACTTTACTAATTACTGATCTGAAAAAGATTTGAGTACAACACTGGGGATAAAGCCTTCCCCCTACCAGCCTTGGTTGTGGGCTTTTATCAAATATTTTTAATTGAGTTTTAATGACAAGGGTTTTTTTTAAATAAAAAAGAACTTTTTTCTGTCTGTCTCTACCATAAACAGTTGTTTTTAAAGAACTTTGATCAGCTGTTTTCACTGAGGGTTTTTCAGAAGAACTTAATATAATTTTTTCTAAGAAAGAGTTTAGAAGATAGATACTTGTTAGAAGAAAGGAGATTCCGACTAAACAAGAACTTTCTGATAGTAAGAGCTGTTCGACAGTGGAACAGACTCCCTCGGGAGGTGGCGGACTCTCCTTCCATGGAGGATTTTAAGCAGAGGTTGAATGGCCATCTGTCATGGGTGCTTTAGCTGAGATTCCTGCATTGTAGAGGGTAGGACTAGATGACCCTCGTGGACTCTTCAGACTCTACAATTCTAATATTTCTCAAGAATTACAGGCATTTTCTCTGCAAATATTCTGTACATTTGGGGGGATGACTTTACAAAAAGCAACCCTGTATTACTAGTAGCTTTTATAGCTAAGGAATTTTGTATGCTTTAAAAAAATAAATTATATGCTGATGGGGAATAAGAGAGTGTGATAGACACAGTAGGCAGATTTTCTATTTAATACACAAGATTGGAATGATAAACATCCTTCCAAAAGAATAACAATGTCTGAAGGAGGGATGCAGAATTAATATGAATGCTAATAATATCTCCTAAGAATATGTTATCATTTTCTCATTAATTTCAAGGACAATTACCTTAAACAATGAAGACAGGACACAATACATTTGTTGCTGCCTAGTGGTACTGTCTACACCTTTTAGGGGGACACAAAAGGATTCAATAATATCCAGGTCAAGAGAGATGTCCTATATTTTATTGCCTTTCATGGTTTTCCTATTTCAGTAAAAGGTAAAGGTACCCCTGCCCGTACGGGCCAGTCTTGCCAGACTCTGGGGTTGTGCGCCCATCTCACTCAAGAGGCCGGGGGCCAGCGCTGTCCGAAGACACTTCCGGGTCACGTGGCCAGCGTGACATCGCTGCTCTGGCGAGTCAGAGCCGCACACGGAAACGCCGTTTACCTTCCCGCTAGAAAGCGGTCCCTATTTATCTACTTGCACCCGGGGGTGCTTTCGAACTGCTAGGTTGGCAGGCGCTGGGACCGAGCAATGGGAGCGCACCCCGCCGCGGGGATTCGAACCGCCGACCTTTCGATCGGCAAGCCCTAGGCGCTGAGGCTTTTACCCACAGCGCCACCCGCGTCCCTTCCTATTTCAGTACATATGACCAAAGCAGGAGTAAATAGTGAAGTAACATCAAGCAGAAGCCCCTTCGGAGTCTAGGTTTCACTTCATGTTAACTTGGAGCTCTCTGAAGTCTCCTCCTGATACAGCCTTCTGAGATTGAAAAGCTGGGTAAAAAGGACAAAAGCAGTAAAAACTACCCAATAACAACAGTAATCCAGAGAGTAATGGAGTAGTGGACACTTCATATTGTTTTAAGACAATTGTAACCAGAAAAATAAATCTAATGAAGAAGCGAATTCTGCACAGCGCCAATGTTAGTTCCCTTCTGTAAAGGATGTTTATAATAAAGCTCGAGTGAACGGGCCAGCCCTGAGGTGATATCTGTTAGAATAATGTTATCTTCAGGAAGATATTTAATGGTCAGTGTCATCGCTCAAGTAACAGCTTGGGAAAACCAAACACTTCATTGGAGACGCTGTGCCCAGGAAGCCACAGGCTTATTCTGAAACAAGAAGGATAGTGTGTCTAGAAATCACTGCACAGTTATATTGCAGTTAAATGATTTTTTGGGACCCCACCTTCTCGTTATTCTGGTGTTAGATAGCTGATTAAGCAAGAAACAAGAAGGATAGTGTGTCTAGTAATCACCGCACAATTATATTGCAGTTAAATGAATTTTTGGACTCCACCTTTTGTTATTCTGGTCCTAGATAGCTGATTAAAAAATGAGTATCAATAATGTTGTCTGTGGCTCACTTTGAAAGTTAAGATAATTCCTCTGATTCATGTGTTTCTAAAAGGCTACAATTCTAAGGTCATCCAATGAACTTGACTAAAATTTGATTCAGGGCAGACCAGTGTAGCTGTATGTCCACATCTGTGGTGGTCATCACTGCCACAGAATGTTTTGATGGCCTGTAGCACCAGCAGCTTTAAAAATGGATTAGATCACTCGTAGGGGTAGTAGGCTTACAGGGGATTGCTATCTTCATCATGCATTTGAGCTCCCCTGAAGCACCTGGCTGGCCGCCATTAGAGGCAGAGGACTTGGCTAGATGGCTCTTTAGCCTGATTTGGTATGGCAGTTCTTGTGGCGCAGCCTTGCCTGCAGCGGAGCAACATAGTTTGTGGATGAGGTGGAATAAGGTTATTTTTTCAGAGCCTACAGAGTTCCACCAAGATTTCAAGGATTCTGAAGTACATTTGGGAAGGAAAGGGTCA